GAGCGGGGCGGCGACCAGGGGCCGGGGCCGCTCGCGCGCGGCGCACCCGCGCACGCGGGCGGCGGCGGCGGCGTGGTCGCGCAGCTGGCTGCGGCGATGGCCGAGGGCAAGACGGGGCCGCGGGCGCACGCGGTGGCGCTGTCCACCGCGACCCTCGCCGGCAAGTAGTGAGGCCCGTGGCCGCGGCCCCGCGGCGACCTCTTTGCGTCTGCTTGGGCAGGAGTGCCGATCGAAACGGGGCCGCTTGCGAGTCCCCTTCGGAGCATTGCTGGCGGCGGCCCGGTTTTCGGGCTGTCTGCTGCGCTGCTGTGGCGACGACAATTGGGAGGGGGCGGATTCGTGCCGCGTGTGTGGCTGACGAACCGCTGGGGGCGTCCCAGCGCGGGTGTGTTTGCGCCGCGTGCGGGTAGCCCTGGGTCTGTCGAGGCGCGCCACCAGGGTAGATTAGGCCAAAGTAGATCAGGAACAAACCCTTATTGAACGCACGAGACAGGGCCGGCAGAGCAATGCGGCGCCGCCAGCAGATGGTGTCAAACTGTGGGCGGGAGCTTGGCAGCGTGCGCGCCGCCTGCATACGGCTCAAGACGAGCGCGGCCCCGGTGACGACACACATGGGCGGGCCATCATGGTTTTCTCTGCTTGTCCGCTTGATTTCAGCCCGCGTCCGCGGCGCAGAGAGTTTTTGCTGCATCATCCTGCTTGGATGCTAACGATTGCGCCGTGCATGAAGGCAGCGCGCGAGGTGTCTCACTGCCGCCGCTTGAGCCAAGGCACCAGTGGTCGATTGTAACAGACGAAGCTGCCAGCACCGCCGAGACCGCGTGGTGCCGCGCGCAATGCCTATACATGCTGAGGTACATAGATGCGCAAAGCTCGTATGTATCTGTCATGTGTTGCGCGGGTGAAGGTATGGCGCGCGGCCGGCTGTCAGAACGCAGCGGCTTCACCGCCCCCCCTCAATGGCACCCTGATGGCACCCAAGCATCGCGCTGTCGGTACTGTACGTTTGTGGAGGAGGTCAATTGGCGTTTCCTGCGTTGAAATCGTCATAAGAGCGCTGTTGATTTATATCGTACACTCTTCCGTTGACATACGGTACACGGCGCAACCTTTCCAGCCCAGATCTGCCTCGGTTCAGGAGCGCCATTGGACCGCCCTAGTCCGTTAGATGGCCCATAGGCCCGTAAACACCTCCGTAGCGCACAGCCACAACGCAACAACGCTGCGCAGGGCAGCCGTCGCCGCTGCGCGCCGCCGCAGCATAATGCAGCGTGCGGCCGGCACGTCCAGCAGTGCGAGCGGCGTTGCGGCGGCGGCGCCGCAGCAGCAGCAACAACAACATCAGCAGCATAATGTCATCGCTGATCTGGCTCCAATGATCCAAAAAGTCCAGGAGCTCAATAATGGCAAAGAGGCGCTCGACTCTCTGGTGCCATTCACGGTCGACGGCGCCGTCCTCGGGCGCATGCGGCCGCAGTGAGCGGGCCGCGCTCAGTGGCAATGTGATCCGCGCGGCGCAGCGCAAGTGCGCGACAGCTCGTGCGGCTTGGGTGGCGTCTGATGTGTGTGCATGCTGGGTGTAAGCATTGATGTGCTTCGGCGGTGTGCGCCCCGCCTGGCAGCCGAAAATCTTGGGGCTGGCGTCTTAAAACTCTACCCCACCAGTACCTGCGGGCGCACCTCAAAAGCAGAGGCGCTCGCCGAACCCATCTGCTGCTCCGCGCAGATTTGCAGAGCAGCTTGCGGCGCACGGCGGGGGCGCGTTCCGCCGGCAGTCGCATTCAATCGAGCTCGACCCCTCGCTGGCGACGGAGCAGAAGCGCACCGCCGCCGTCGCAGGTGGGCGCGCCACGGCCGCGACCGTACGTGCAGCGACGCATGCGAATTCATCCTTTTGGGGCCATGCTGAAATGCAGTCGTCTTTGTTTGTGGCTGTCACGTCCGACGTTGCAAGTGCTTGCGGTGTGCCCTTCGGACCGTGGGTGTGGGGAGTTTTGTGTGTGTATGTGTATGTGTATGTGTATGTGTGTGTGTACGTGTAAGAGAGAGAGATGCACACAGAGAGTGTGTTGGTGTATCAGATTGTGTGTGCGTGTGCGTGTGCATTTGCGTGTACATGTGAGGCTGCGCGTGCGCGCCCCTCTTGAATACGAGTGCGTCACCCGGGCTGGTCAATGATTACAACGTTGGACTTTGGCCGAGAGGTAAATCATGCCCGCTGCGGATCCAACCAACCATTCGCTAGATAGTAGATGAGACCCCCGCCGGCACACCTCGCCAAGTCGAATCTGTCCTCGACTTGGACCTCCGAGTGATCTCGCACGACACCCTGTTTGAAAACACATCCGCCTCAGCGACACTGAGCAACTTGGGGTTTGACTGCACCCCGTGCTCGCCCCCATCTCCTCCCCTCCAACGCGATCCGGGATCTGCGTCCACGCCCCCACAGAAGCTCTCGGGAAGCTGCGAGACGCGGGCATCGTCCAGGGCTGGCGCGACGAGCTGTACCCGCTGGCTCCTTCATTCGACGCGCCGCCGCTGCTGCTGATCGAGCGGGCGGCGGCGCCCTACTTTGGGATGCGGGCATACGGCGTGCACGTCAACGGTGGGCGGGCGGGCGAGTGGGCG